TTGGGATGGATAAGGACATGCACCACATTACAGCAGTAGAGTGCTTTGTCTCGTGTCATGCGGAGAGTTAATATGCGAAAAGGAAAACGTTGCTGCCGCGTGCTACTGCTGTGTGCTGTATCAAGCGTGGTGCAGATGCTGTCGATATCCATAAACACGCGTCCAAAGCTGCGCTTAAACCTTAACTAGGGTTAAGGATTGCCCCCCCGCCCCCCAATGGGGCTGTGGGCCAACATCCAGAACGGATATGGTGGTGAGTGTCCGGGAGGAAGGGAAGAAGAAGAAGAAGGGGAGAGGATTTGTTAGGGCGGGAAGAAGGGACGGTGTTGGGAGAGGCAAGGAAGTGATGAAGAATTTCGGCACTCGACGAGCGCGCGGTCCTGTTGGGGATGAAAGGAACATGTCAGTCCGTTGTCTTGTCTATCGGAATCGAAAAGCCGAAAAATCGAGGTATTATACATTATGTACACAACGACGGAGAAGGCCGACGAGGAAGGTACGAAGAGAGGAAATTGCACCCCACGTTCGAACTCGGTGTGAAAACCGCGGCAAGGATGGAGTGCGAAGGGAACAAAAAAAAAACGGAGACGTCGACGTTTGCGTCGTGGAGCGATCCTTCTGTATATCGCAGGTACTCACCAACGCAAGACGGGGAGGTTAAATACCCATCGTGAAAGTCAAAGCGCACGTCATAGCTGCATATGACTCATGCGCGGAGAAGTTACCACACGGAGACTTATCAACAAGAAGTTTGAAGGCCGGCTGAGAAGGTTTGAAGACACAAACACTTACGCGGCGACGATGGCAAGCGCAACGTCAAGACTTCACAAGAAGAAAAGTGCATACAAAGAAAAGAAAAGGCCGGATGGCGACCTATGGCTCTCTCTCTCAGAATGAAGGGATTCCCACAATTTCCAACAGGTAGTCCACAAGTATCGAGGAGGACGTCGGAACGGTTTTTAATGTGGAGAGAACAGCAACAACAACAACGATGAAGGTCGACCCGTCCTGCGTCGTTCAGTGTAAAATGATAAATGCAAAAGGTGGACTGCGTAAAGATCCAGCGGTCTTTTTCGGCAGTGGCAAAGAAATATGCGACCACATGCCGCGAAAAAAAAAAGTTGAGCGGAATTACTCTATTATAGTAAATAGAACACCGCCTTCTCTGTTGTTGCAGGCAGGTTTGCTTCCACAACCCGGGAGTCCAACCCACTCTTGTATTTCGGCCTACAAGATTCCAATCGACACAAGCACCGGTAGGAGAGTGCGTGGGAGATGCCGTGACATCACAACTCCACTCTCCTACGACATCTATGTACAGTAGTACTGCTGTTGTTGTAGCATGCATGTGGAACATCTCCGAGGCGTCCTCCTGCGCGGTAACGACAACATGGCGAGAGCTCTACGTGTACCTGTCGTCGACACATGTGGCAGCAGCGCGATACACGAACGGATGTTTGCATTGCATTGTACTATGGTTCACCGTGGCAAGAAGTATCCCATCCCGTTAGGTCGTGCGGTACTTGTAGCACGCGGACGTCGTTCGGCGTCTAGTCCATACTGCTGTAGCAAAAACACAGCAGCAGTAATCGAGCTATGCATGAAATTTTTTGCTCTGGTTCACTTTTGCCTCCACAACACGAGAATCTCACTGCTGTATCTCGACCTACAAGACTCCAATCAACAAACCAGCACTGGCAGAAGTGCGTGGAAGATGCTGTGACAACACAACTAAGTCGACACTCGTACGACTTCCATGTAAAGTCGGCGTCTGGTCCATACTGCTGTAGAAATTCAAAAATCGAGCCATTTTTATTTTATTTTTTTCCATACTAATAACAAGAAATGTGTCACGTCACGACGACCATCCTGTAAGTATATATATAACATGATTAGCTTGTGGTAGGTCTGCAAATAAATACGGCCGCCCATGCTGAGCGTTCTATGCTGCCAATCAGTTGCGCGTGATTGAACGTGGGTGGTGTGGATACCATGATTGGCCTGCGGAAGGTCTACAAGTACGGCCGACGCGTGCTGCCCGTCTATGCTTCGTTCTGTCAATCATTTGCGACGCGTGTCGGCCTTTATCATGCGGTTGCGCTCGACTGAACGTGACCATCCTGCAATTAAATATATTGCATGATATATTCGTTCGTTACGAACGGTGTCTTCGTGTGCTCCGTGTAGGAGGTTCTGCAACAACCTTCTGTTAAGGAGGACCCCATTCGCAGGGTCTCCGTCGATTGACTTTTACCAGAATCGGTACACCTTCGCACTTCACCTGCACAGCGATGCGGCATGACGAACTTCGTACAAAAAAGGAAAAAATCGTGGTCGAATGCATAACCAATGACGCATGATACCACCCCCCATCTCTCCGCTACAACGCATAACTTGCTTCACCTGCGGGAGCCGCATCGGAAACGATGTTGGTCCGTTCGTGGATATTGAGGACGCATGCGGCATGCATATGCAAATGAATACACGTGCGCATGATGCAGAACGTTCTGAACCAACATTCAACCGCACGATAACGCTGTACGATGTACTTCGAAGTATACACGAGATATATGCGCATTCATGCGCTCGGACAGGGAACGATATGGGACGCTCACGGAAACCGTACACACAGACACGACCGCCTACTCGGTGATGCCGTTGAAGGTTTCCGACGGAAAACAAATACGTATACAATGGTCGCTCGAACGGTGCCCTGCTACATGTAGTAAGCACGCGGTGGCGTAGACCTCTGCTGCTCAGTAGGTGGTCGGCTCTGGAGTAACACAAGGTGAATCCGAACGAGTTTGCTAGAACGGTGCCCTGTTCGTGAGCTGGCGGCTGGCTTCGGCCGCCGCCGCCAACTCAGTACTTTAGTCAGATCAAACGCAATAGAATGTACCGAGAACGGTGCCCTGCTACTGAACTCGGGGCTGGCTTGGGCCACCGCCGCCAGCGCAGTAGGTTGTCGGATCCGGAGCGACCAAAAACAAATTACACTGGCCGCCGTTGGCAAAAGTTCAGCAGATAGTGGTATCCGCATGCAGTAGCCCGTGTTCCTCCGGCTTTATATAGGTGCGGAGAGAGAAAAATATACATAGTTTTTAGGGGGAATCAGGCGCGAGGATTCTGTGGTTTTCAGCGCTGGTTCCTACCCCCTTTCTCTCTATCCTTTGCGATCTAGAAACCGATAATGATCACGAAACTCGACAGAAAACAACACAGGCAAAGTTTGCTGTCGGAGACGGGGTAAGCTATCGTATGTTGTAGCCGGAAGAGTTGGAAAGCATCATCGTTCGAAACCCGGACTGGTAACGTAGACTAGACTTCGTGCGCCGCCTCCGAATTTCTTGACACTAGCGGAGAGCACACGTGCACCAGCGCCGTAGGTCGTAGCGCTCGTGAGCGCGACAGATGATCTCGGGGTACGTGGGCACGCCGAAGGGTTGAGGCACTGGCCAACATAGAACATGTGGCCACAGGAAGCAGTGTCTTGTTCCCGGCCACCCACCCTTGTCTTTCGAAGGTGGGGGAAGGGAAACGGGTTCGACGTCCTCAATTCATCGAACGGTGCCCCGTTACTGAGTTGGCTTCGACCGCCGCTGGAAACTCAGTAGGTAGCAGCATCCGGAGTGCAATGATGTCGCTCGAACGGTGTCCTGCTACTGAGTTTGTGGCCGGCTTCGACTGCCGCCGCCAACTCAGTAGATAGTCGGATCCGGAGTGCAACAGCCGCTCCAACGGTGCCCTGTTGCTGAGCTCGGGGCTGACTTCGGCAACCACCGCCAAATCAGCAGGTAAAAATATAAAAAAAATAAAAATATACTCAAGTGTATATTATATGTACATATAAGATTTGGTCACTTTTCGTACCTCGGCACTTCTTTCTCTCGCCCCAGCAAGTCTTTTCTCGCGGTTCCTTCTCAGGGGCACGCAGGAGGCCCGTGGTACATTAACGCCCGTGTCCGGAGCTCGGCAGACCTCCGTGGCGCGTGTAGTTAACCGTCAAAGTTGCGAAAATTGGCTCAAAACTCAGGGGACGCGTTCCGCGACGACAATGCCTCCCGAACCAATTCTTTAAACGTCTCTGTTGCATACAACAAGGAGATTATTTCCCCCGCAAGTTTAGAGAACACGGTCGCATAATTTTTGGAACCATTTCGACGGTTCCTAATCGGTGTAGCATCATAACAGCCGTTTTACACTGTGTAAATCCATGCGTACGTTTCTATGCAGTATCATCGTGGTTCTTCACCCACAGCTTCGGGGCCGCGACTCTGCTTTGAACTCTCACCTCCGGTTTGCAAATGTATTGTGTGGAAGATACATGTTCACAGACCTACAGTAATTCATATTCCATAGTTGATTGGAACACGTCATGCCAGTCACAGAATTTTTCGGATCTTTCCTTCATAGGTCAAATCTCCGATTTTCTCCGAATGGGTGCGGACCATCACCACTGCACCAGGTGCACGCTCCCCAGAGATGGGCAACAGCAGCAACACATGTATTTTATTCACACATACTGTGCGGTGTATGCATCTGCATCAGCACTCCTTCTCGGGGCTGGTCATGTATAGAACTATGTGTGTATACATGTACAGGAAAAAGTCCGATTTAACACAAGCCCTAAACGAAAAACCTGACAGGTAGAAACGTGCCGATCACTGTTTTTTTCGAATCTTTTCTTCAGGTCAAATCTGCGACTTTCTCCTGAAGGGTGCGGGCCATCACTGGCGGGCCATCACTGGCGGGCCATCACTGCACCAGCTGCACGCTCCCCGCACGGATGGATACACGACAGCAACAACACTTATTCGTACATTACGGCGCGGTGTATGCATCTGCATCATTACTCTTTCTCGGGCTGGTCATGTGCAGAGCAATGTGTCTATTCATGTACAGGCGAAAGTCCGATTCAACACGAAAAAAGAAAAATCCGTCCCAAAAGCAAAAATCTGCCGTGGCATGCAAATATTCGGCTGCCCGCACTCGCTCTCACGATGGCCCTCCTCCCATCTACTCCTTCTACACCCCCCCTCTCATCACAAATCACAACTCACACCGCCAGAGCAGCTTCCAACACCGTACATCCATGCCTTGCCAAAGCCGCCAAGCGCTACCAACACATCGTCCTCCACCGCCGGATCCTCTCCGCCGGCTGCTTCTCCGCTGCTTCTACCCCGCCGCCCGCGAGCGGAGTCGGCTCATCTGCGAGTGCTGGCTCATCTGCTGCTGCCGCCGCCGCCGGCTCGGCCGAGCAAGTCCCGGCCGACCGCGAGTCGCAATACCTCTGCCCAGGCACCGGTTGCAACACCAACCTCTTCTTGAAGGAAAATATCCACAAAGGCAGGGCCGACTACCCCGCCTGCAGAACTTTAGCGCCGGCACCTGCGCGTGCACCGGCTATTTGATCAAGTACCCCGGAAAGGTCTGCTGGCTCTGCGCCTCCGGGTTCGAGGTCGGCGAAGGTGTGGGCACACACCATCCCAGGTGAGAGCTTTCGCATATCTACAGCAGTAGTACAATAAATGATATTTCACGGCTGTAATCTGCAGCAGCAGGCTTGGAGTTCTCACGTTGATGTCCGTGGTCGTTTGTATGAACGCGATTCATATTTTTGGCCGACGCTATCATGTTAATACAAAGTTGTTTACACCACACAACGTTCGGCGCTCTTCATCCTATTTCGGCGCTCTTCGTGATAAGGTATGAATCATGCCCACGTCCTATGAACTAACACGATTTATTCCTGATTTCTGTCACAAGAAGACCACACAACAACCAAGCAACCTTGCAACATTTTTTGTGCTGTGTAAGGCTTTCGCACCAACTTTGCCCCTCCCTGCGCTGTTGAATGACTCAGAAAATGAACAGATCTACTTCAACAAATCGCTGCTCATCCATGTATAGTATGTATGTGTTCATCGCCTTCCCTTTTTGTGATCAAACAGACGTGGAACGCCCGGCGTGTTCAAAAACTGGTGCCTCAAAGACAACGCCTGCATCATCCTCAAGGTGGTGGGCGTCCCGGTCAACGTTAGGCTTGCCGGCGAGGACGACGTGAGTCCTTTTATTTCTGTTTCACAAAACTTTTTATCTATTTATATGTTTTCAGTCCCTACCCCCTTCTGTCTGCCTGACCAACACAACACAACACCAATCATTGTTGATGTTCCTGCCCGTTAATATGCGCACTGCCATGTTAGCCATGTGTTCCACTGTCCTTTCCTGCCGAACACAACACCAGGTATCCTGCCCGAACATATCCGCACGCATATGCTCGGTACAACGTGTGCTGCCGCGAGACAATGTTTTATTCCATCCTACATGTCCACACCTTTTTTTGTTGTGTTCGACGCCAGTATTTTCAGCGTGAATATGCGCACATACGTGTTCGTTATGTATGCGTTCCTGTCATTCCTGCCCTACAAACACTAAAGCTGACGCAGGACCCACTTATTTTTACGTTCATTCGTAGTGTATGTGCACACTTTTTTTTTCGTGTTCCACGCCATTTTTTTCGGGTTCATGCCCGTGAATGAATATGCATACGCACATGTTCTTCGGTATGGTTCTTCATCTTTCTGCTGCCAACGCCATTTTGCTCACGCAGGACAGCTATTTTTTCCACACAATCATTTGCAAATTTCCTCTGTGTTCTGTTCTTAACACTATATTGGCTGCGCGACGACATCATGCTGACGCAGGACGTATCTTTTTTCCCTTCCACATTTTTCCCCTGCAACTCCTACAGGTTGCAAAGCGCTGCAGTGACTGCAAACGTGCCAACCCGACCATACTGGACAAGGACCAGTTAATCGCCAAGTCCACCCAGCCCTTCCACGTCGGCCAACCCCTTCCACCTCCTCCGTCCCATGACACATGCGATGTTTTGTACGGGGGCGAGCGCTACCGAACTTTGAAATTTAATCCATGACTTCACTACTTCCTTTCCGACTTGCGTCACCCCCAGGGGGCCTGACACAACGTCCCGAAGGGGGGACCTTGTATACATATTAAATTTAAATATTACAAAAATCAATCGCACGAACCGTGCCCTGTCGCTGAGTTTGGACCTAGCCCTGCCCGCTGCTGCATAGTCGCAAACTCCGCAGGTAGTCGGATCCGGAGTATCCCAAAATTACTCGTGTCGGTTTCTCACGAAAGCTGACGCCGCCATAGACACATGAAAACAACAAGCATCCCAATTTATTTGCCCGGAACCTCGTTCGAACGGTTCGCTGTTGCCCATCGCTACGCTCATGCAAGATGGCTGCGTCCGTATTCGGTGACAGCACCGACGTGCGTCACAAACGCGCTTCTCTTCCGTTCAGATGCGTTCTAGAGTACGGAGAAGTTGCTGAAATCACACCTAGACTGCTTTCATATAGTCTAGTGACACCAAACGAAACATGCAAAAAAGCGTGCGAGTCCTTAGTGAAAAAAAAAACTGAGCACTACTGTAATTCCATGCTAAACCCGGCGACCATGAACTTGTATACACGGCTCCGACAGTCAATATCCTAAAGAAACAGCTGATTATCATCGTGGGAGAAAACTTGAGAAGATTTGTTTTACCTTGCCCACAAACGCTGTGTGGAGGGAAAAGGGGGAACGCCCCTGTGCAAGACGCTGATACCCTTGCCCATTATTTGTGCATTTTGTTCTTGGGGCGAAAGGTATGAGTCACGCCTCATGCATCGGCCCGTTGCTGATATTTCCGCACCGAGGTTTCGAAGACAGTTCCTCGCCACACCATTCTAACTTGGCGCCGAACACGGCAATAGTTTCTCGGTTGTCGAGTATACGTTATCAAGACCTAGATTTTGGGGAACGAAAGCATCCAAAGGTCGAGTAGTATCTCCCGGTGTGATGTTTCCGAACCGCTGCATTCAACGATGCAACATCTCCGCCAAGCACGTTTTGTTGTTCGTGGTGTGTGTGTGCACATGCAATTCTTCTGCACACATGCACGTCTGTTTGTTTAATCGAGACAAAGCTACTCCGAAGATGTAATAGTGTAGTGGCATTGGCCACCTAAATCGCTTCGGTCGCATGGTTGGAATCGATCTACTGTGGGTGAAAGATACCCGGGAATTTTCATATCAAACCTGGTCATGTCTCCAGCGAAGCATAGCGGCGAGAGCGCAGAGTCAAGTTCGAACTACATGCCCTTTCCCTTCTCCAACACGTTCAGGATGGTAGGAGTATCTGGGTTTCCCACCAAGCTTGGCGTAGTATGCAGCAACACCAGGAATTCTCCATTATTGGACCTTCGAGAAACTACACCATTGACAACGCGTCTTCCAAAATGGACCCATGATGGGGGTGGGGACAATTGTGGATAAAATGCCTCGGGTCGGCATTGTCATGTGCTTGCCGGTCAGCTTGCTCCTGATTATCGGATACGAGACAAATAATTACGAGACAAATAATTGACGCTCGACGATATCTACAGAGACAACCGCGGTGAAGCCACTATTTCCTTTCCTGTGATGAAGCCACGTGCTACGCGGTCCCATTGCTTGTCTATCATGGGCCGCGCCGTAAGCTCAACCGCTAGAAGGAATTCCACGTGGCGCCGCGTACCCCCAGCCTCCCCCCCCCCCGAAGAAATAAACAAAAACGACACCATACCTCGCACGTCGTTTGATCTCATGCAACCTGTCCCGGCTAAAATATGTTCGGATGCCCACGAGATTCGGAAACCCGGGCTGCACGATACAGTAGCCCTGTCACTTTTCTTCGTTTTTTTCTACCTCGTGCTATTCGTCCTGTTTTCCCGTTTAGTGAGATCTCCCGGGCATCATGCGAATAATTTCGCGGTTACCCCAAGATACGGCGGGAAGCAAGCAACTCCATGAAACCACCATATGGCTCGGGCCAATGGCGATGAAGAAGGGCAAGGCAAACGACACTTACCGCTTCATAGTGCACCACAGCTGGCCATCGGTACTGCACGCCACCGCCGAAAAGACTGACTATGGTCTCTCTGAGGTAGCGCTCGCCGTTGCGCTTCTTGGTGGAGTAACTCTTTGAGTCCTCCAATTTGGGGATTTTTCTAGGCGGGCAGCGCGGCACGAAGCCCAACGGCTGAGCTGTGCCGTCCCGTTTCGCGGCCAAATTACGTGCAGGGTGTATATCGCACGAGTTCTATACTGGTGATATAAGGGTTTTGTACGACATCGTACGAGCTGATGGATTCTACTGTTGTATCCCCAAACAGATATCGCACGACTTCGAATTGGGTGTTTTCTAAATGGCAGTGCTTACCATTGGGAGGCCCCATGGTCCGAGCCTGCTACTGTACAACAGTTTGGTCCCGTCTGGGGTAGTATTCGGAGGGAGAATTTGCGTTTTAGTAGCAGAGACACGTTAGGATACCGCAGAAGCTATGTGCCGTGCAGAACGTACGTGTAGTACGGGGAAAGTCTCCCTCCATAGGCCACAGAAATATCAATCAAGGCAATTCGAAAGAAAACAATAAAGTACAGTTTGTTGTCGAAGACCGAATAAGCTGTAGTATATTGGGCACGGACGAATTCGGAACATCTCCCCGATCTACGTATGTATTTGGGTTCTTGTTGTGCCACCCTGGAGGCGTGTTGGTTCAGTAGTCTTGGTTCGGATTTCTGGGGTCCTACAAAAAGAACGGTCTTACGGAGTTCTCATTCGGCTGCCTCCCTGCTCCTGCAGCAAGAGATTGATAAACGTGTGTCTACTGGACCAAAAGGCCACGTGTTGAGGAATGCACAGTGTGTAACACGCGGACCGCGACGGAGGGCCACGCGGCAAGGAGGGCAGCAGCTAGCTACATCGAAGTTTGGACCTAGCTACAGAAATTCGTAGCTTTTCTCCCGCCCACCCACCCGTTTTCTTTCGAAGGTGGGGGATAGGAGATGTTACGAGTGAGGACTCACTTGAGGGACTGAAGAACGGCAGGTTCCGTTTCGGAAAAACAAAATATGAAGCTTTTAGAACGGCGGGAAACCCCCTTTTGGTCCCAAAAACGGCCCCTTCAGAGACCGGCACCCGCTACTTTTGTGGACCACTGCGAGACGAGGACAAGGCGCTGGATGAAACCGCAGGTGGGTTCTGTTCTCTACACTCGCAACACTGCTGACCGCTGACTGCGGTAGCTCAGCTGCAACCAGATTCGCGGAAATCGGTGCTGGTTGCATGTACTTTTCGGCGGACCATAGCATAAGCACAGGACGGCGCTCTCGTCCTAGCTTACGTTACAGAGAGCGTTAGTCGTTCGTGAGGGTATTTAAAAGCAGCCCATGTACTGGAGAGTCGTTTGGATGCGTCGGATTCTCAGATACGTATTGCTAGCTATACGTCTTACGACGGTGAAGAGGGGGCTCCGTTGCGGCACCAAACGGGGCCGTCATGGGAAGGAACACCCACA